AGAGAGAGAGAGAGAGTAAAAACTTTTAGTTGCCGTTAAAATCTCGGAATTTTTCTACTAATTTCAGGATTTTCCCTAAAAATTGGAGAATATATATTTTCGCTCCGGCGAGCGGAAAAAACACTGATAGAACGGATTAGTTATTGTTAACGAATAGATTTTGGGTGAAGGTTAGGGTCTATTCGGTCTCACCAAATGTTCATTCGTTAATAGTTAACGAATGTATATTTGAGGAGCCTTCTTTGACTTGACTTTCGCCATTCAAGTGAACCATTCGTTAACTATTAACGAATATTCATTTGGTCATATTCAAGTCTACCCTTCGTTAATAGTCAACGAATCTCGTTTGGAATAAATGAATCATTCTATCAGTGTACACAAATCTGACTTTGCGCCTACAGCGGGGCGAAAAAGACAGTTACCTCCCTAGCTTAGAAATACACTATTTTAACACGCTTGGAAAGGAAAGTTTGTATACCACAGAGAAAAAGGAGAGTGTGTAGTTTATAAAGGAGAGTTTTTTCTTTCTGTTGAGCGGGAGGAAATTGAATACTTTTCACCCTAGAGCGGGAAGTACTTCTTTCCCTCTTATCAGGGAGCAAAGTACGAACGTTACGTGCCGGTGTGTAAAAAAGCCAGTGACGGCGTAAAAATTACGTTTCGAAACATAATCCGCGAATGAAGTAAAATTCAATACAAAATGTGAGTCCGAACTGAAATTTTACGAATCGCCACGTAAATTCTACGATTTGATCCATAAAATTAACCACCTGTCTGCCGTTCCGTAATTTTTCTCCAATGATTGAGAAATTTTACGGAACGGAACGTGGAAATACCTCACTAGCTTCATAAAAATTGTTGAACTTTCAAGAATTTTCGAGTTTGGAGGCATAATAAATCGGGAAGTTTCTGTAAGATTTTACTTCTTCGTAGTGATGCCGTCGAGACTACACGATAAATTTTTTGGATAGATCATCCCTGTCTGAAAAAACATCAAAAGTTTCGAAATCGTTGCAATCTCGAAAGACATTGGATCGGCGCATCTCGTCACGATTTTTTGAGCACTTATTTTGCCTGGGTCTCGACTTTGTCGTTTTTTTCTGTTTTATATTGCCGATATATCGTAACGGTATATTCTATCATCTTTGATTTCAGCCAAAATAAAGCCCTTATTTAACTGGCCTACGGTTAAAACCATATTTTTCGCCTCGGCGTAGGCGCAAAGTCAGATTTCAGTTACACGGAGAGAAATATTCAATAAAAATTAGCAGAAAAAAGACGTAAAAATTACGTTTCTAAACGTAATCTGGGAGCGAAGTAAAATTCAATAAAAAGTGTCAATCGTCACGTAAATTCTACGATCTGTTCCGTAAAAATTACTCATCCGTCCGACGCCTCACGGCTAGCCATGAGTCACCGTGAGGGGGAGATTTTAACAACACGTTCCGTAATTTTTCCGGAACTTTTCGTAAAAATTCTTAAACATCCAAGAATTTTCATGTTCTGAGGCATAATAAGTCTTGAAGTTTCTGTTAGATTTTACAACTTCCAGAAAAATTACGTGACTTTTTCGTATTTTTTCGGTGACAGACCCGAAAATTTACTGAACGTTTCAGATTTATTCTCTTATATTCCTATAGAAATTCACTGAAAACGATTCTCGCTTGCGGATTACGTGAAATGTTCCGTAATTTTTCTTGAATATTTCTCTCCGTCTACACAAAATCAATAACTTTTTCTAAATACTCAGAACTTCTCCCTTCTTCTTCTTTCTGTGTTGTTTTTGAGATCTTTGCAAGAGGGTTCGTAACTTTAAATGACTCATAACTTCAATATTTCAAACGTTCAAAACCCTATATCACAGGATCTAAGGTAAATAACCGCATTTTCCTAGGGCTCGCTCTTGTAGATAAGAAATAGTTCTACAAAAAGGTTCCGGCCAAGATTCCACAATCTCACTTCATTCCGAAATATCTTTCACAGCTGATCAAATTTACCCTGACAATACACAGACTGGAGGTTATCTGCAAGAATACCAAATAGACTGTTCAATGTCCGCGGAAAATGTTATCTTGGGGACACGAGTTGACCAAAATGTTATCTAAAACTTTTAGACTGAAAGATTTCTCGTGTGCACAAGGTAACATTTTGTACATGCATTAGATAATGTGAATATTGTTTTATGTCCACACTATTAATTTTATGGGGCGAAAATTATGGGATATTGGAAACTGTAAACAGGAGTTGTTCAAGTACTACGTAAGCAAATTTTTGCATAATTTTGGCTTCTCTCCTGCCCCCTATGGCAACATATTCCCTATATTGATAACATATATTGATACACTGACAGAAAAACTACAAATTTCTCAAACAAGTCTTACTTGTGCCAAGAAAATAGTTTTTTTGAAAATTATCAAAAAAGGATTTTTGTGCCAAACATGCAGAGAGTGCGCCGGCATGAAAAATTTTTGTCGCAAAAATAGATTTAGTAGTTAAAAAAAAATTGCATTCTCTGTACACGCAAGAAATGGCATTTCTAGCACTACTCCTTCGTTATTCGATTCTCCCATATGTATTTCGCTCCCGAAAAATCTTTGTTTTATGCCAAATAAGGGATAGTAGTCTTTCGGTTCGGCTGTCTAATAGTCACAGACAAGAAATGCACCCTTAAATGAAGCAATAATAATGATATGATAGCAATCTTGTAACTTAGGGATAAAATATTTGTTGATAAATTTTCCTCTATATGAGATATTTTCATCCTGAAAAGGCACCGTCTGGTGTGAATTATCCGCCTCTTGAGTCAAATATTTCGTTGCTGTCGAAGACAGAATAATTATTCATGTTTGACACTTTCAAATTCGAACCAAACGAATTCTTTTTTGGCAATTTTCAACTAGCGATTTTGTTGGCCCAAACAAGACTTGTTGGACAGCGTGTTTATTTTTCCTTTCAGTATAGACTTTGGCCACCGTCATCACTGATTTTGAATGAGTACCCCATGTATACCAATGCACTATCTTTGCAGATATCTCCTAGCCCTTGTGCTACTAGTAACAATGTGCACATACCCTATGAGTCATGTTCCCCCCCCCCTCCATGTCCAGAAATTTAATCATTTCATGTTAACATACCTGGGCTCGACGACATCTTCATTGACCTTGATGTCCCTCATGCACCCCACGAGTCCCGCATCACTCTTCCCACTTCCAATGACAACTTTATCAGTCAGTTCGAATATCCTGGGGAACTGTCTCGACTTCAGATGATGGTAATCAACGATCAGACTGAGTTGTCCTCTCGTGTAGTTAAGTTCTACCTTGTGCCAGGATGTCGTATTGTCCACCGAGGCTATCACCGTGATGTTCTCCGTTAGCAAAGGAATCAATTGGAACCAGACTTCATCGTTTACCAATCTAACTTCCCAATACCCTAGACTCTGTCCCATCTTAACATCTCCTGAGGCAACAACGGCCACTGGTTTTGAACTCTGGAACTCGAAGTTGAGCATTAGAGAGTCTTTCCATCTGGTCGGCCACCATATGTGACTCCCCGCGAAGGGGTATGTGATGGGGATGACCTTGACATCAGCATCATAGTATTCAGGCTCGAGAACTCCGATATAATGGACCATTGGGTTGGACTTCTTGAGCTCGTAAATGATGGATTTGTCATTGAAGAAGACGTATTTCAGAGAGCCAGCGAAGTTGTTGAAGGAGACGAGGCCCTTCTTCTTGTGCAGTTCGGGGCCCCCACCGATGTAGATCTCCGGGTCGATTATCATGTAGTGGTTGTCTCCTGGAATCTCCAGGACATCCATCTCTCGGTCCAGGGAGATGAAGACCTTGGAAACGTTGTGGAAAATTGTAAAATTCCTCCAGTCGTTATTGGCGACGTTGTCACCCAAGATTGTGGAGAACTTCGAGTTGTGGCCGAAATCCACGTGGACGTGGACTTTGCGGTTCATTATGGAGGCGGAGATGTAGTGGGCCGTCCCGTCGATCTCGCCGGATGCGTAGAAGAGGACTGAGTCGTCCCATCTTGTCTGAAAGTACAGGAGTGTGAATTTATTTTATATAATGAAACCGTTTATCACGAAACGTCAGAAGATCCTTTTGAAGCCGAAAGCATTTTTTTCATTACTTGTGCGTAAGGCGAAATTTTACGCACGCTTCGCCCTATCCTATTTTTTCGGAATGGTAATGGGAAAAAAGTGGTTGCTTTTGTGCACGAAGTGCGTAAAGTTCAAGGTCATGCGTAAAGCTTCGCTTTACGCGAATTTACTTTACGCATGACCTCTGAATTTACTTTATGCACGCTGTGCGTAAAACAAGCCTTTTACGCACACTAAACGTTTTCGAAAAGCGAACTTTCCAGGCTGGTATCACAAAAAACTAGGATTCGACACTCCGCGGTTAGAAATTTTTTGAAATTTCAGTCACCGCATCATCTGTATTTTCGATATTGTAAGATTGAATTCAATTTCGAATGAAAGCGTTCACTAATTTTCTCATTCATCTTGAAAATTCAAGAAAATTGAGGTTTTCATGTTACACAATCATTGATTTTTCAATGAAAGCTTGAATTTTTAAAGCCATCGTGAAAATTGAATATGACGTACAATTCAATTTTGTACCTTGTAAGTACTGTAGAAATTGGTATAGTTTCGATGAAATTTTAGATTTTCCTTGGGAGTATAACATTTTATAAGAAAGAATTGCCCCTAACGGCCAGCGCCATTTGTCGAAATTCTAGAAAATTCGAAATTTTTCTAAAAAAATTTACAATTTTCTATAAAAGTCGAGAAAATTCTCCGATTTGCCACAGAATTCAACAAAAAATTTTCGGTTTTCTCGAAAATATAAGGAAATTCTCCGATTATACAGAAAATTGGAGAAAATCCTCGTATGTTCTAGAACATTCAATTGAATTTTTGAAAAATTCAATTTGTGTCAATCAATTCAATTTAAAAAATCCTAAGCGGCTGCAATCTTTATACTGCAGTGAGGCTCAACGTCGTGTCTAGGTGGCGACTGACCCGTTAACCACAAACCGTCACGTCGACGCACCCACTTAACGTTAACGTTAAGTCACGAATACAACCTCTTAGGATTTCCAATTAATTTTCTCAACCTAGTCGTATTAGACATATTCGCCATTCAATTACCAAGATCTCAAAAATGTGCTCTTTTAACCTTTCGCTCGTGAACTATTCATTGATTCCAACTGAACCCACGTCCCATACCACACGAAAAAAACTCAACAAACCCCGAGCTTTTACCCAGCAAAACTGTCTGAAAAATATTAACCAATCAATTCCCCAAATTTCGTCTAAAATATTTCCATGAAAAAATGCATCTACTATACCTTGAACTGAATGCTGATGAGATTCACCGACGAATGCACGCGATCCTTCCAATCGTAAACCCTAAAGGAGACATACGATGACCCCCGGAGTGTCAAAACAGTGGCGGCTAAAAAGATGAAAGCACTCATGAAATCCAACCAATCATAATCATAAATTATCATTACCATTAACTCCATAAATACTCAATCAAGTAATAGAACTTACCAATTTTCAATTATTAAATTAATCAACAATTAAATATTTAAATTCCGAATTATTTTACCAATCAATAATCGAATTCGGAAGAATGACAATTTGATAATCTCTAATATTTTTAGAAAATTTCCAATTATTTACCTAATAGTTATTGAAAAAATTTAAATTCCCAATTATTTATGATTTTCTAAGTTCCAATGATAAACGAATGAATTCGGTTATTTTGGGGAAATAATTCTCTTAATATTTCTGGAATAATGGTTGATGTCAATCACCGATCAAGAATAGAAAGAAACAGTATGTCATAAGCAATTCTCCCATCCCATGTTAGATGACCCCAATGTAATCACTCATGTGATTCAATTAATCACCCAAAAAGATAACAGACAACCTACTGTAAACATCGCATCGTTCTCCCTCGTAGAGTGTCCCGAAGCAATCGCAAGTCAGGCTGTTGTAGTGATTGATACACTTGCTCCCGAAGAAGCACAGATTTTCTCTTGTCCAGCACTTGTCAATGCACCCCTCCTTAACATTCTCGTGTTTCGTCGCTATTAAAGGCTTGATAGGTGATAAATCACTGGCAGATTTCCCAGAGCTGAGCACCATGTCTCTGATACACCCAACGAAGGATTCAATGATGTATTTGACCCCGTGGAGTCTCTCCTCAGAGCTAAGACCACCAATTAAAACGACTGAAGCCAATTCCGTGGAGACTGCGTAATTAACGACTCTCTCCAATACCTCAAGAGTCGTTTCTTCTTGCCTGTCATCTACTCGGGCGATTAATTTCGCTCCACGGACGTCTATCCTAACTAGAACACTGTGCCACTCGTCTCTGTTCAGGCCTTCACCCACTGTGAGGCTCGTGGAACGCTTCCCGAAGACGTGGACCACTTTCAGCTGACCTTTTTCCACGATTACGTACAGGGCGTAGGGGTCTAGGCTCTCTGGACGATCTTTCACGCTGTGGTACACGAGGAGACCGTGGGGAAGCTTCGTGCGGAATTGGAAGGAGATTTCTCGACTGAGTCTAAGGATGAAGAAGAGATAATTGGGTGAAAACATGAAGTAAAACATCCTGGGTCAATTTCACTTGAGAATTTTTTGTTTTTGATGAATATCCCGGAACCTGGGGGAGATAGGACGGGTTTCTTACAGGTATTTCTGCAGGGAGAAATTTTTTGTGGAAAAATGTATGGGCTTGCGCTATAAACGAGACGCAATTGGCACTCTTGAAAAATTATAAATTATCGTGCGGCAACAGAAAAATTGTCGTGCTACGCCAGAAAAATTGTTATGTAACACCAGAAAAATTACGCTCAAAAAATAATACGTTATTTTAAGATTTCAAAGGTCTTGAGCCTGATTCTTAAGTTGACTTTCATTGGTCTCAATTTGAGACTTCCATAGACTCAAGTTGATACTTTTTTGTCATACCGGGCGTGAGCCAGCGCTTCACAAATATTCACGTTTTCAATGAAAATTCAAATAACTTCAAGAATTCTCATCTTGATGCTTCTAAGAATTTTCAAATTTTATTGAATTTTTGGTGAAATCTGAATTTTTCCACATTAACCCTAGATTGGTCACCATATGAGGGAAACCCCGTCCCACGTTGTTTTTCTTTAATTACAATTGACTGGCTAACCGGAAAAATTCAAAAAAATTGAACTTTGTCAATTGAAGTGTCTAAAGAATTATAGTAGTTTTTAAAACCACATATTTCCCGGAATTCCTAAAGAAAACAAATTATTTCGAACAGATGAACCATTTTTCCCATGTTATACGAAATTGCCCATGACGCGACGTTGCCGGAAACTCGCTAAATGCGCCCGGGAAGTGTAGAGTGACTTCGGCAACGCTAGAGCCTAAATAACACGGCGGGGAATCCCCGCCGAGGTTACCAGAATCGCAGGGTCGCGTTTGGTAACCAGACAAGGGTTAAATTGTATTCAGTGGCACTGTCCTGAAAATTATTAGTCAACTGTCCATAAAGGTTCATTTCAGTAGCGAAGTGGTAAAACAGTACAAGTCAATTTTTACTATTGACCAGTTTTCAATGAATAGCTCGGAATCTAAGGGAAATAGCAAAATGTTCGTTATACCCTTTTTTAGAGCCAATTGAGAATTACAACAACTGGGAGATAAGTCGACTTAAACCGTTTTACCACTTCGCTACAGACTTTTTTTTTTAACAGTATATCGATTGAGAACGGAGACATTGGTAATAATTAATGAATAAAATAATAAATGATAATAATTTAGTTCTATTAAAAAGTTTTCCGATCGAACGCTTAAAAAATGACCCGAAAAATGATGGAAATAAAACTGACGGTCAATTTGTAACTGTGTAGACGATTTTTGGTCATTTTTACTCACGTCTGACGCAGCTTAACTGTGACGGTCATTTTGCATACAAAATTCGGTCAGGGTCGGTAAACGGTTAGAAACCCGTCATTTATATCTGGTCCGTCGAAAAAGAAACTGACGGCTATTTCATATCTCTAGTCACCGCCCAACATATACGTATTGAATAAAATATGCGTTAAATAAAGTATGTGTTGAATTGATGTGTTATGTTGAGTTGGCATAGTGGCAAATATTCCGGTCACCCAGTTTGAGGCTTCCAAAAGTCCTAACTTGAGACCTTTGAAAGTCTCAAATTAAGGTGTTTCGTCTGTAGATCACCGGCGCGAGGGGGGGGGGGAGGCGAGTCTTATTGTTCTCGAGCCCTGATTCAATCGCTGAGCACGAAATTTTCCAATTTTCAAGTAACTATTTAAGTGTGCATTTGAATATTTTTTGAATATTGATTTTATTTATCAGATTGATTGATTTTTTCTCATCACCGACGGGTGTCAAATAATTTTTATTGGATGTTTTTCTAATTATTGAAATAATACTGAAATGCGTCTCGAGTTGGTAAACGTGTCGAGTGTTTTCTCTCTCTCAGTTCCATGGTCCAACCCATACCTTTTCTATGATGCTCACTGACATTCGAATCACGCGCCTGCACGTGAGGGCGTAATTGCACCGAAACTTATAATTTTCCGAATTATTTGTTAAAATAACTTTCTTATGAAATGTGAAAAAAATCTGAAACTTATACGTGTTCTCAAGAAAGAGTTAATTTATCATCCACTAGTTTTTCCTCAATACTTCATTATTTTTTTGGGTGCCACGGAAAATTTCCTAATTGAGAGTGGGGTAACCTCGGAGGTTACAGCTGGAGAATTTCATTATTTATTTTGTTGAGACTGAGATCGGAAAAAAATATGCAAGAATTCTGAATGATGCAGCATATTCAGGTTTTCCTCTCGTGGATTTTCTAATTTTTTTTCATTATTTTGACTTTTCAAGCGAAACACCTTAAGATCTTCCACAATCTCAATTTGAGACTTTCAAAAGTTTCAATTTTAAATCATAATTCTCAAAATGAAGCTTGTTTTTTGGGTCTATTGTGCAGCACCGGAAGAATTATTATGGATATCATAACTATTCTGCTGCGGCACGAGTATTTTTTGAAGTAGCGAATTGTTCCAAGTGTGCAAATGCAAGTGTATTGGTGCGCCTGAAATTTTTGTAGAAAGTTTTTCTCCATGTATCGAACAAAGTTCGAGATACAGAAGAAGCCTTCAGTGGAGATAAAAGTATTTCGTTTGGATGAGGAGATTCATAAAAAAATGGATATCAGAACGCGTTGACTGGATTTTTTCAGTTTTTTCGTATTTTCGTTACCTCAGTTGAAATGTTTTGATTCCCGGTCCGTCCAGTTGGATAAATGTGTTGCTCTGCGCGAACATGAACGTTTTTTCGTACCCCGACTCCATAAACGTGAGTTCCTGGAAAGAAATAATGATGAGAGACCTGATAGGTGGCTTCAGTCGTGATTTTTCATGTGTTCGTAAACACGGAATTATTATTTTTGAGAGGTCTTTGCAGACTTTTCCCCAAAAATCTTATTCCTGCAATGACATGGAGTTATAAAGGTATGTAACCGTAATCTGCAGTGAGTGCAAATCTATTTGTGTATAATATCTTCGGTGTAGTATTCTCCCGTACAATTTTCTGACGTAATATTCTGACGCATGTAGAAGTGACACCGCAGAAGGCATTCTCACGTTTTAGGTCGTATGCAATATGATCCTTTTGTTCCGTAGGGTAACCTGCAGTCACCCATCCCTTTAGCGACCACACGAAGCACTGCTTAGCTTTTCATAGTTGAGAGCGTTCATTGTGGCATTGTACTAGTTCAGGGGGAATATGATTTGATCGTTCGACTCTCCATTAGTATTAATTAAGCAATAAAATGGTGGAAATAGCAATTAAAATGAGGAATCTCTAATAATTATGTAGGGGAGAGTAGGGCAAAACGGACCACTGACAGACAATTGGTAATTTTTGTTTTTGTTTTTTTCCTTCAAATCAGAAACACCGAATGTGTTGGACTAAAAGTGAGGTTCTTGGATCGCAACCGTCACAGGGGTTTTATAGACAAGGAGTGTCGTTGAACCGCAATTTGATTAGATTCACTAATGGCTTGAAACCACAAATAACTTTGAAAAGCCAATATTTCCTAGGAATCTGTGTGTCTAAAGGCAAAACGTTTTATATGGGTTTTTTATATGAGGTACTCCACGCCAAATGAGTTAATCGCTGACCCTTATCTTCTTAGAAATTAATGGCGATTTTTACTACCATTGAGGGGGAAGGGGGGGGGGGGTTGAAAAACGGTCTCAAATTTTTTCAGATTTTTTCGGCAGCCCAGTTCGGAGATATATTTTTTACATTTTTCCGTTTTTTTTTCAAATACTTGAGTTCTATTTGTCCGATTTTGATTTATTAAACGTTAAAATTTTCCATTTTTTACCGCCTATAAGAGTATTTCTAGTAATTTTTTTTTCAATTTCTACATGCTCATAACGAATTTTCGAAAAAAAAAGTTGAAAAAGTGAAATTTTACTAATTACGTCATTTTTTATTTGTTTAATTTTTTTCAGTAATTCTTATAATCAAAACAAGTATTTTGAGCCGTCATTCAAGTTGGGTATCCTCCTGGATCTATTTTATTTTTAATTTTTTCTTTTCAAAATTTCGCAAATTTGATCAAAACAGCCCAAAACGACCTCGATTATGTATCGAAAAAATATGTAATACATAGGTATAGAGTCAAATTCACTTCATACTGTCTATAATCAAAGTCAATCATTGCCATTTTGGGGCGTTTTGACCAAATTTGCGGAATTTCGAAAAGAAAAAATTGAAAATAAAATAGATCCAGGAGGATTCCCAATTGGTATGATGGCTCAAAATACTTGTTTTGATTATAAGAATTACTGAAAAAAATGAAACAAATCAAAAGTGACATAATTTACCAAATTCAACTTTTTTAACTTTTTTTTTTCAAAAATTCGTTATTATGAGCATCTAAAGATCAAAAAAATAATATAATATTCTTATAAGCAGTAAAAAATAAAAAAATTTGACGTTTAATAAATCAAAATCGGATGGACAGACCTCGAGTTATTAAAAGAAAAAAGAAAAATGAGAAAAAAAATCATATCTCCAAACTGGACTGCCGAAAAAATCTGAAAAAATTTGAGAGGTAGTTTTTTAACCCCCCCAATCGTAGAAAAAATCGCCATCAATTTCCAAGAAGGTGAGGGTCAACGGTTGACTCATTTGGCGTGGAATACCTCACATTTATTTCTACCAATTTCAGGCTTCCGAATGGTTCCCAATGCTTGTTTTCAAAAAATCCTTAATTCCTAATAATCCGGATGTGAAAATGAAAGGTGAAATACAGATGCGCCAAGAAAAAAAAACAAAAATTACCAATGTTCCGTCAGTGGTCCGTTTTGCCCTACCCTCTCCTATGATATTTCTCAAGTGGTCAATACTATTTTAGAGATTGTTACAACCTCTACATTCAGATAACAAAACAAGCAGGTGACGGCTCCTATATTGCAGAAGGCATGTGACTGTTACTTTATGTGTTATTTGTATTTTAATTTTTTATTTCTACCAATTCGATTGGTAGTAAGCTTCCAAATAGACCCATAGCAATTCCCTTTTTCAATTTATCTCCAAAACTTTGTATAAACGGGTATATATATTTTGATTGACCTAGATAGAAGACATCGAGACGAGTATTTTGAAAGAAGAAATGAAATCGGTCAAGTAGTTCTTCAGATATTGACCAATATAGTTCTATACAAAAAGTTGAGTATCTCTGGAACTACTCGATCGATATCGCTCAGCCAAAATTCCAACCTTTGATATTATGGGAGCTACGATGATACCAAATTTCAACCTTCTATCTCAATTTCTTGTCGAATTATCGCGCGTACAAGGAATTTTGGGCAAAAATAAAAAATCGGCAATGTCTCAAAAACTTTGTATGAACGGGTATATATACTTTGATTGATCTAGATAGAAGACATCGAGACGAGTATTTTGAAAAAAAAAATGAAATCGGTCAAGTAGTTTTTGAAATATTGACCAATATAGTTTTATACAAAAAGTTGAATATCTCTGGAACTACTCGACTGATATCGCTCAGCCAAAATCCCAACCTTTGATATTATGGGAGCTACGATGATACCAAATTTCAACCTTCTATCTCACTTTCTTGTCGAATTATCGCGCGTACAAGGAATTTTGGGGAAAAATGAAAAATCGGCAATATCTCAAAAATTTTGTATGAACGGGTATATATATTTTGATTGATCTAGATAGAAGATATCGAGACGAGTATTTTGAAAGAAAAAATGAAATCGGTCAAGTAGTTTTTGAGATATTGACCAATATAATTTTATACAAAAAGTTGAATATCTCAGGAACTACTGGACCACTTGGGCTGAAACTGTGCATCAAATTTGAGCTTAATAATACCTAGTATGCGTCAAAATTTCACGTCCATATCAATGAATTTTCCTGTATTAATGTTATATTTTCTAAAAAGTGGTAACCCAAAAACCGAACTATCGGACCCGGGCATACAAACATTTTCTAAAAACATAATTTCGTCATGTTTCATACCATTCTACATCATTTTCAGGCAAAATTAGGGCATGTCAAAATCCGACGAATACCATGCTTCCATTCGGAAGCAAAAATGAATGCGCATATTCCTCTATCACTTGCCTTTCCTCTTTCATGCTTGGGTACAGGTTTCCTCGTAGGTCCTAGGGGTGAAAAAGTAGGGGAAGGGGTGCTTGGTGTCGTCGTTGGAGGTGTAGTCGTCGTCGAAGTATTCATTTTTGTCACGAAAACTTTTCCCTTGGTTCCCATAGACGAAGGCAATGTATCTAATGAATTGAGAAATTGGAGTAATTAATCAACCAATTAGTGACATTCTCAAGACTTCGAGGAATAAATTAACCAATTTTGACATTGATTTCCCTGGTAATTTAATTCTCGGCATGACTCACAATTGGGACCGCCGACGCAGTGCTGAAGGCACTCCAGTTGTGAATTAAATCTGTTCTCGTTTCCCAGGCATCCACCGTAGACGAAGATTCTGCACTTGCCCTCGGCCTTGCTGAATGTCCACTTGTGGATGTAGTGTTTGCAGGGGCCTGAGTCAGTTTTCACTAGACAGCGGTCCGGCAATGTGCGTTTTGTTGTGGTGACTATGAGATCGCTCTCATCGAACATGTCGAGATCGGGAAATTCGGTTATGCTCGATTGGATTTCTAGGAAGGTGCACATCAGACACAGGGTCACCAGGACCCTCCGCGGCAGGATCATCATCCTTCATTCGATGAAATCCTGGGAACAGAACATGAAGAATTTCTATTTGTGTTTTAAGGGGAGACCGCGGTGGAATTTGAAAGCCTTTGGGTATTATAGAGACGATTGTAGAAGTTTATATTATGTGTTATACACGGAGAGAAATATTCAAGAAAAATTACGGAACATTTCACGTAATCCGCAAGCGAGAATCGTTTTCAGTGAATTTCTATAGGAATATAAGAGAATAAATCTGAAACGTTCAGCAAATTTTCGGGTCTGTCACCGAAAAAATACGAAAAAGTCACGCAATTTTTCTGGAAGTTGTAAAATCTAACAGAAACTTCAAGACTTATTATGCCTCAGAACATGAAAATTCTTGAATGTTTAAGAATTTTTACGAAAAGTTCTGGAAAAATTACGGCTAGCCGTGAGGCGTCGGACGGATGAGTAATTTTTACGGAACAGATCGTAGAATTTACGTGACGATTGACACTTTTTATTGAATTTTACTTCGCTCCCAGATTACATTTCGAAACGTAATTTTTACGTCTTTTTTCTGGTAATTTTTATTGAATATTTCTCTCCGTGTAGGTGGAAAAAAAGAGAAAAAATCGAACTAAGAGATTTTTAGAAGGATCTAAAGGGTCGAAACGGGTTAAAATCTACAAAAACGTCCTAGTGCCTCAATTTTCGACCAATTGAGCTGAAATTTGGGTTACACACAGTTGAAATATGCACAAAAAAATTATAGACGGATTTTAAAAATATTGATTTTTTATATGTATTTATATTTTTATGATTATCACACAAGAACAAAAATTCATAGAAAAAGATAGCGCATTGGCTATAGAAACTTATGTCGGAAATTCTACTAGTTTTTCGTTGTTCTATTGCAAATATTGGTAACTTTTTGTACTCTTCTGCCTGTAAAAACCGTTTCGTGCAAAAAATGAATATGATTTTATTTTTCTACACAACTCATTCTATTGAGATATTTTCTATTTTTCTATTCCCATTCTATTTTGTTCTCTTTCCATTTAAAAAATGCAACAATAACCTTGGAAAATGGACCCCGAGAAATTTCTATGGAAATTATTTCAATAGAAACATCCAATATTGAAATATATTTGTAATGAGTGATATGAAGACAGGCTGTCACGACACCTCTTTTATAGAGATTTCCGTAGACTACAAAAAAATCTCCCGACAATTTCTATTTCTTCATCTCATAGTGACAGAAATATTCCCGAAAATACTCGGCACGAAATTTTTATTCTACCCGGATTTATTCTACCCGTTTCCTATTACAGTTTTTCATTTCTCTGAATCGCGCGGAAATCGTGTTTCACAATTTGAATGATTCTGGGGTCCACCTGTTGGAGAAGGGGACAAAGGCCATGTTAAAAATTCAGTATACGCAGTACGAGAGAGGCCAGCGGTCCTTCTGAATAAATACGGAAAGGCCCCAAAAGTACAGATCTGAAGATATGGGCGGGGAAGAAGTTACTCTCGAGAATTCCAAATGCACTTTTGGTATTCGTCAACTGTTTTCGCCCACTCTTTGACCATGCCCAAGTGTGTCCAAGGATTAGACGCCTCTTCCACTTCCTGTCATTCGCGGTGGTTGATGCGTTTTGCGATTGCATTGTCACGGATTTATTACTTCCTCTTGAACAAAATTCTAATGATTGATCTTTCTCCAAATGCGTTCTTGAAGCTGCACTGAGAAAAAAATTTATTCCTTCCAAGAAAATGTTATTGGTGATATCTTTTCCATACTCTTAGTAGAAGAAAATATCTCTTTTGGAACGTATTTCTCCAGGCCAGTCATTTCCAGGTGCTCCGAAATGAGCTCCAAGCGTGAGAATTATGGTGATCTATAAGAATATTCTTCTGCATATGACCTCGAAGAAACTCCAATAATAATTATTAACATTTGGAATTATTCCAATTTTCTTTACCTGAGAAAATCGCCAATTTGTAAAATCCGGAAGATATCGGAGAACATTTTGTCAAGGTCATATGTAGCATAATAATCAGATTGTTCAATATCACTGTAATTTTTGAGGATAGACTTGGACTCTCTGAAAATGACTGTTCTGGAAAAATTCGTTCTGAAAAAATATTATATTCTGACGAGAATATCAATCCTTGGTAGGAATAATTTTTTCTCTCGGTGTGTGAGAGAAATATTGAGCAAAGTTTTTCCCAGCGAAAAAAATTACGATTGGGAAAAATATTGATTCACTATTTCAAGTCCAGAAATTAATGTTTAGGAGTGATAATTTTTTTTTCTTCTCGTATACCCTTTCGGGTCTTTACGATTTGTTCCCTTCCCACCCCCCAACCCCCGTACCGCATTCGCCGAAGGACAAGGGAAAACCTCATTTGAGGGAAAAACCTGCCCAGGTACAGTCGTCCCTTGCGAGACTCCCGCTCGACAATGAAACCGTGAGATTTAGAGTGTCACAAATTTTGCCCCCCCCCCAGCCGGGAATCGAACCCGGGTCTCCCGCATGTCAATCCCACACTCTAACCACACAGCCACCGCCGTCGGTTGTTTAGGAGTAATAATTCTTTTTCTATTTTGTGATGATTGAGAGAAAAAAAATCACTTCATCGTGCAATTGGAACGAACTAATGCCCACGATGAAACATGTAACTCATTTATTTCTGGTGTAAGAATACGTTCGAATTCATCTAGAATTTAGGGTAAACCACAAATTAATGTTGGCTTCAAGATTTGAATCCTGGTCGCATGGGTATTAAGCGAGCGTTTTATCCATTACGCCGCTATAGATCTAAATTTGCTCCGTGCAATTCATAAACAAGTGGACTGTTAGAAATTTTTGTCTGAAATTTCCGGCACACTTTTTGGAAATTTTTATCGAATTTAATAACCACTGAAATTTCAAGGAATTTCGTCATTGAAAATTCAGATTTTCGTTCAAAAATCAAAGAGAACTGTAAATTTCAGTTCCATTTTTCTCTGAAAATGACCAGACAACCAGAAAATTCCGGTAAATATATTCTTGAATTTTCAGAATAGTGTATGGAGAGAAATATTCAGTAAAAATTACGGAACTATTCACATAATCCACAACGGGGAATCTTTTTCCGGAAATTTTTATAAGAATGAAAGAGAAGAAATCTTAAACGTTCAGTGAATTTAAGAAGAAAAATCTTACAGAAACTTCCCGACTTATTATGCCTCCAAAATCAAAAATTCTTGAACGTTCAACAATTTTTATGAAGCTGGTGAGTTATTTCTACATTCCGTTCCGTAAAATTTCTCAATCCTTGGGAAAAAATTACGGAACGACTTGTTGTCCTCACAGTAGTGAGTCATCAGAGGGGTGGTTAATTTTTGCGGAACAAATCGTAGAATTTACGTGGCGATTCGTACAATTTCAGTTCCGACTCACACTTTTTATTTAATTTTACTTCCCTCGCAGATTACGTTTCGAAACGCAATTTTTTCTGGTAATTTTTATTGAATCCCGTGTGACACTGAATGCGATTTAGGGGGCAAAAAGTCATGAATTTTCAGATTTCACTGAAAATTCAATGCAATTTGGCATTAAATATTCTTATTAGATTGGAAATTCAAATAAATTGAGAAACTCTTGTCTTTGTGCTGTTTAAAATTATAAAATGTAATTTTAATAACGCTGAATATTCACGATTTCCATTTTTTTTCATGCAATTTAATTGACAAATTTGATCATTGAAAACTTAAGGATATCCAAGTACTTTGGCTATTTTTTCTCCAGTGAAATGTTTTTCTACTTTTTTAGTGGAACATCAGAGCTTTCATTTGAGCCCCTTTAACCCTAAGTTTCCGGAAATATTATAATAATTTTATTATTTAAACTTTGCAGGTCTGATTTTGAATCTCGATATTGAACCGTTAGAAAACATTTTTAAGTCTGAAAAAAAATTAGAAAGTTTATTTCTTCAGAAAAATATAATTTTAAAAAATTACGAGCATTCCCTATAAATAATTTATAAACAATCAATTTTCCACCACAAAAATCATTTATTCCGAATCACAACTAATTTATTCATATTCAGAATTTTACCAGAAATCCATTTCACGCCGAAAAAAAAAGGTTTCCGAAGACAAACCATTTTATCTATTTATTTCTAAACAACGAATGTTTAAAAAAATAATCCTGTACAAAATGTTATTTGAATAACGCTGAATATTCACAATTTTGTTCAAACTTTTCCGCGTAATTTTATTGAAACAAATTTGATGATTGAAAATGGTTGAAATGATGCTGTGGTCTGTACCAAACTGTAAAAGATACTTGGATATCCTTAAATCGAAATAGCTCTTCTTCTGGAAAATTCTGCCAATGTTTTTCAGCAGGATGTGTTCACTTATTCTGTATTGAAATGGGACGATGAATTATTTCGTATTGATCAGTGGTAGAACCGGAATTGAAATGGGGGAAAGTGCCCGAAAATCTAGTGAGTCTGAGGTAAAAAGCCCTATTCAATTTTTTCGTGCGTGTGAAAATTTGGCTTCCCTCCAGCCGATATGAATCACATGTTTGCCCCGGGTGTATTATCACCGAACCCTGAGCTTGAACCGGCGATTCAAAGAGAAAATTTTTGTCTATGTGTACTCGGTACATTTACAAAACATAAATGCGATAAGCAAGTGTGATAAGGACGATAGACCTCCAAGGCACCGCACACACAAACTCGACAAAGATTACTCTCGAATAAAATTCCCCATTGGCTTTATATGCTCTCTCATCTTGCATAACGGATTCCTCTGTATTTCAGACGGTAACACATGACCGGAAGGGGCCCCTACGTATCCTGCGGCCTGATAAAATCATCCGTCACCAGATTATACCCGTAGGGGGGCTTGGCATACTCATGAAATAAACATGAGGGCTCAATGTAAGTATTTTTGATTGTTGTTTGCTTTAAACCCATTACAAACGGATACGAAATCACCAGAGGTTGAACCACATTTACCAGTTGAAGATTGAAGAAGGATGTTCAGGCGCAGACTTAAT